GAGTTCAGCTTGCTTGGATCCAAAATCAATGCTCACGGACGCAGCAGTCAGGTGATCAAAAAGTATTATTGTTGTTGTTGTTGTTGTTGTTGTTGTTGTTGTTGTTGTCGTCATCGTCGTTGTTAGGTTCCACCCAGTTGGTTCCCACCCATGGAGACCCAATGCACAACAGAACTGAACATGGCCAAGTCCTCCACCATCCTCACAATTGTTGCTATATTTGGACCCTTTGCTGCAGCCACTATGTCATCTCCTTAAGAGCCTTCTTTTTCACTGGCCTCTACTGTACCAAGCATAATATCCTTCTCCAGGGACTGGTCTCTCCTGACAACATCTCCAAAGTCTGTAAGACAAAGTCTCACCATCCTTGTCTTCTGAGGCACTCTGAGCACACTTCTTCCAAGACAGATTTGTCAATTCTTCTGGCAGTCCATGATACTTTTAATATTCTTCACCAGAAATATCATTCAAAGGCATCATTTCTTCTTCAGTCTTTCTCATTCAAGGTCCAACTTTCACCAGCATGTGAGTCAATTGGAAACACCATGGCTTGGGTCAGGAACACCTCAGTCATCAAGGTAACATGCTGCTTTCCAATACTCTAAAGAGGTTTTGTGCAGAAGAGCTACCCAGCGCCATGTGTCGTTTGATCTCTTGACTGCTGCTACCATGAACTTTGATTGGCGGTCAAAGCAAGAAGCAACCCTTGGCAACTCTAATCTCATCTGCATTTTTCACTATCTGCATTTCTCAAGAATTTCATCTGGATGGCAGCTAGCAACAACAAGCATGCATCATTTGACCTCCTGGCTGCTGATTCCATAAGCACTGATTATGGATCCAAACAAGACAAAATCCTTACCTACTAATGAAGATTTGGGTTTTTTTTTTTACATTGAATTATAATTCATACTGAAGGCATCAATTTTTTATCTTTATTGACAAGTGCTCCTCACATTGAATAACAAGATTGGGTCATCTGTGTATCCTTGTGGTTAAGCCTTCTTCCAATCCTGATGTCACATTTTTCTTCATATAACATACCCCAACTTCTCGGATTATTTGCCCAGCATCACAGATTGAGTAAGCATAAGAAGAAGGTACACTGATGGACACCTTTCCTGACTTTAAACCTTACAGTATGCCTTCGTTCTGTTTACACAACTGTCACAGGTTCTGCATGAGCACATGTAGTATTCTGGGATTCCCATTCTGATCAAGGTTATTGATTGTTTCTTATGGTCCCCACAGCTAAATGTCTTGGTTTAGTCTACAAAGCACAAGTAAACAACTTTCTGATGTTCTCTGCTTTCAGCCAAGTAAATTTTTCCTGGAGATAATTCAAAATATTGCAGCAGTACAAGGAAAGAGAATTGTCAAACGTTCAAGCTGGATTCAGAAGAGGACATGGTAAGAGACATTGTTGATGTCAAATGGATATTGATAGAAAGTAGAGAATGTCAGGAAAATGTTTACTTGTGTTTTATTGATTGTATGAATGCCTTCATATTTGTGATCATAAACCGTGGATACCATTGTGAAAAGTGGGAATTCCAGATTTAATTGTGCTCATGCAGAACCTGTACATAGGTTTAAGAGAAAAAGGACATACCCCCTGGTTTAAGAAGCCTTGGTGGCATACTGGTTATGACTGGGCTGCAATTTTCAAGGTCAGCAGTTCAAAACCGCCAGCCACTCCACAGGAGAAAGACAGGGCTTTCTACTCCCATTAACAGTTATAGTCCTCAGCAGTTCTGCCCGGTTCTACAGGGTCGCCATGAGTTGTCATAGACTCCATGGCAGTACGTTTGGTTTGGGTTTCTGACTGCTTTAACACCTGGTATTAACTTGGGGGAAGGAGATTTGTAACACACACCCCCAAACCCCCCGACCCCCGACCCCCTGTGAAGGTGAACAGAGGTTAGGGCAGGGTAAACTCAATGGGAAGGAGGGTGTTGAAAAGTAAATTAAACTGTTGAACACAAGACTCACGATCACAAATGGAAACACTCCACCTGATTCACAATAAAATAGAATTATTAAAAAAGAATTACTAGTCTCTCCAGTGGAAAACTGTGAATTGCTCAGAACAGACTTTGATGTCAATTGACTCACCTGTTTTCATCAATTTGATGTCAACTCACAGAGACCATAAGAGAGCACATCTGCTTCTTTGGATTTCCAAGACTGAAAAACTCTATGGGGAGGAGGCAGTCTCCTCTTCCTTCCCACACAATGGTTAGTGGGCTTGAACCACTTAATTTGTGGAAGCTAGTCTTTTGTCTTTGAACTCTTTGGCAACTCTCAATATTGTAATGGCTGACAGCAATGCAAAAAATTCTTAAGCTGATTCTCCCTCTATGCGTAAAACATGATCGATTGATTTATGAATTCATCCCACCATTATTTTATTCCATAAAAATCAGTGCTTCGTTGGTTCCATTTTGAATCAGTTTTAACATCAGCCCAGTTCCTTCTTTAACAAGGAATTAAATCAAGCCTTGAAACATGTGCATTTTATATCTACAGAAAATTCATGACTTGACCTATTTTTTTAAAGAATACTTCAACATCATCAAAAGAAAATCAGTATTTCTTGAGGAGACGAGATTTCACATTTCTGAATCTTACTTTCAAAAGCAAATATTTTTAAATGTTTTTCTGTATAACAGCTTTCTAATATAACAAAAATTGTAACTATTATATTAAAGTATATTTGGTTGCTTTATTTAAAATGTATAACTAAACCCATATATAACAACATTATTAATTTCATTTATTAAATTTCCATTCACACCAATAGTGTGATAGGTAGGTTTATTGTACCAACCTGGCCAATGTGGGATTAATAAAGTCACAGTTTAATTGAAGGGCAAAG